TGTCTTCAAGCTGTAATTCAAAACGTGTACTGTCCGTTTTACTGGCGACCACGCATTCTGTTTTTTAAAATTAATTGTTAGTCTTCTTTTTTCTAGCTTTCTTTTACTACCTTGTCTAGAAGTTCTTGCAATTTATTTTCTGTGATCTGAGGTTTGCTTTCTTTTACTACCTTGTCTAGATGTTCTTGCAATTTATTTTCTGAGATTTGCTTTCTTTTACTACCTTGTTCTAGATGTTCTTGCAATTTATTTTCTGAGATCTGAGATTTGCTTTCTTTTACTACCTTGTCTAGATGTCCTTGCAATTTATTTTTTGAGATCTGAGATTTGCTTCTTTTACTACCTTGTCTAGATGTTCTTGCATTTTATTTTCTGAGATCTGAGGTTTGGTTTCTTTTACTAACATGTCTAGAAGTTCTTGCAATTTATTTCCTGAGATTTGAGGTTAGCTTTCTTTTACTACCTTGTCTAGAATTTCTTACAATTTATTTTCTGAGATCTGAGGTTAACTTTTTTTTACTACCTTATCAAGAAATTCTTGCAATTTATTTTCTGTGACCTGACGTTAGCTTTCTTTTACCACCTTGTCTAGAAATTCTTGAAATTTATTTTCTGAGATCTGCTGTCAACAAATGCAGTTGCGTATATTACGATATTCAGTCCATGTCTGGTGATAAATTCTGGTAAAAAATATACTTTATTTATTGTTTGTTTAGAAATGACAGAAACTTTTGTCAGTAATCAAGGTTGGGTTTAACCAGCCTTGATACCTCCATTCCATTTCAGCTATGTCTTGGTGGAATCTCTCATCATGCTCATCGCTGTCGGCAACCAGATCCGTTAGACGAAAAGCGTGATGAGAATGCAAGAAATCCATTTGAAGAGACACCTAGAATTCTAACATTTTCTGATAGGCTGTTAACATGTCATCTGTCCAATCACCATTATTTTCAGTTATATAAGACACTAGAAAGTTCTGTACAACTAATGGTAATGTATTCCAGCTGCCGACTCAAGGGGACACCGAGATGTAATAGTTACCACCCAAAATATTATTATAAGAAGTGTGGGCATCTATGTTAACGGCGCGTGACGACTGTCTGTTTCAAGGTTGAATAGAATCTTCAGAACTAAACATTGCATTCATGAAGTGAAACAGAAATTCGCTACTCAATGAGTACAATTCTTCGATTTACATTATGCTATTTTATATTTAGACGATCTATCTCAAGTACTGAGCACATTTAAACTACAAATATAGATTACTTTGATAAATATTTTATCATATATATATATATATATATATATATATATATATATATATATATATATATGTGATAAAATATTTATCATATATATATATATGATAAAATATTTATCAAATATATATATATATATATATATATATATATATAAGTCTGTCGCATCTGAGTGTTGACGTCAATGTTCACTTTTATATTTACATTCGCTCTATCTCTGATATTGAGCACTTTATCCCATAAACATAGGACATATTAATACTATAATTTCTCATATTATTTGAAACAGACACCCTATTACACTATTTAAAAAATAACACGGTGTCTATTTCAAATACGGGTATCCACTAAAATAGCATGTGAAGTTGTAATAATAATAATAATAATATATATATATATATATATATATATATATATATATATTCGGAGATTAAAAGAAAAGCGTTAAAAATCGCTACACAATAGCAATCGTGTTTCAACACTACAAATGTGTCTCCTCGGGCGGTGTATATGATACTGCTTTAAAAATAGTGGCTATAATTACGCAGAAAGCAAGTATAAAAGCATGATAATAGCGATCTAAGGAATAGAAAGAGGGCTAGGGAAGTCATTTGGTATAAACCCCTTTTTAACCAAATGGTCAGTACTAAGTTAGGCCAGATGTTCTTCTATTTAATTGATAAACATTTCCTAAAAAATTAACCTCAGTAAAATATTTAACAAAAAAACACACAAACAATAAATTAAGTATGCACTGATAATCTTGAGAAAATTATTAAGAAACACAATAATAGAATTTTAAACCAATTTAAAATTTTGATAATAATGAACATTCAAAGAAAAATACTGTTGATAACATTAACCAATGTAATTGGAGGAAATCTAACGAATGCCCACTGAAAAACCAATATATGACCAACTCTCTTGTTTATCTAAGTACTATTTCTTCAATAGAAAATCAGACTTTTGAAAAAAATTATATTGGGAGTACTAAGAATTCCTTTGAGAGTAGATGGTACCAACATATTTTATCCTTCACCAACAGTACTTATAAAAATAGTATATTTCTTTCTAAATATTTTTGGAACTTAAATGAAATTAATAAAACCCCTACGGGAAAATGGAATGTATTAAAAGTAGATAGAACGTTTAGATCTTTAAATGAACCTTGTTTCTTATGCTTACATGAGGAAATGGAAATTATCAATTTTATTGATATAGTCTCCTTATTAAACCAAGGAAGTGAACTAATTGTAAATTGTAGGCATAGTTTAACTTTTACCTTACAAGATGGTTAAAATTCGAATTTGATAGCACTTTTTCTTACAGTAACAATTGGTAGATGCACTGAAGTGCACCTTATATGGTTTAATATTCTATTGTGTAAAATTCATTTCGATTTAATATGGCTCCGTATCGATGTCTAGTTAGTATTATTAACACCTTATATTGATTAGTTTGTATTATTTACATCTTATATGACTGGTTTTTACTTAACAGTTTCATATTAATTTACCAAAGTAGTTTTGAATTTATGTTTTGTTTTTTTTTCTTCATTTGTGTGTGTGTGTGTTTTACCGATTTCTTAAAGAAGCCTTTTAATTATCAACTCCAAAATTCTATGTGGGTAGATGACCGAGCATATAGCTAGAAAAAACATTATGCTACTTTATCCCGCTAACCCTTTCCTCTTAAATTCCTGTGAAAGTTGAACGTCATATTTCTCTATACTTTACGAAATAGTGTAATCATTTGTATCAGTCGCAAACGAAATTGTCTATGTAGACAACTTCATATTATAGCCTATATATTTTTTTTTCGGTTGATTTAGATTTTAACGTAGGTCTCACATTTGATTAGTTAATTACGGTAGACGCACAAGCCTCATATTAATTACTAGCAGTAGAGCCCAGCGTTGCCCGGGGATGTAACAGTAAAGATCAAGTATCGCTCATCATAAAGACTGAAAAATAAAATTGACAAAGATTATTGTTTAAGGTTGACAGACACGCATGTCTTAATTAGATTTTTTTTTTTTTTACGAATTGGTCAAACCCAAACTCAAACAAAAACATTGTTTTCAATCGTTATGAGTTTACCGATTGAATAGAATTTTATTATAAACAATTGTCTTGTAAATGGAATTTTTAAAGCATTCTGAATGTAAAAATATCGAAAAAAGTGTGCAAGACAATAAGAAACACTACCTGCCAGAAAAAAAGATGAAGTTTTGTTGAAATCGGTTAAAAAATGTAGGAAATCCGATCCCATATATAAACGAACACACACAAACAACCTGGGTTTTATAAGTATAACTCGATATGAATTGTCCCCCTTTCATTCTCGTGATATCTCTTAATCATGTTTCAAATTGATTTCGTGCAAAAACAATTATGTTTTTCCAATTTTTGGCGCTGTCAGAACCACCGCAAGGTAATTTTACGTAGTCCTGTGAAGTTTTGTTGAAATCGGTTGAAAAATGTAGGAAATCCGATTCAATATATAAACGTACAGACACACACACAACCTACGTTTTATAATAAGTATGATGCTTTTTCGTCTTCTCTTTCTCTTTCAAGAAAAGAGGAAGTATTCTACTTCTGAGATTAATCGTTCATTCACCAGTAATTTATTATTGCCTGAGGAGACAGCTTTGTAGTGTTGAAGCACGATTGCCATTATGTACCGATTTTTAACAAGATTTTGTTTTAATCTCAGATAATAAATAATATTTAGCTCTACTCTGTACTGAGCCCTTTTTAAATGAAATTTTACTGACAATGAAAATATATTTCATTTGTTCTTATCTTTATATATATATATATATATATATATATATATATATATATATATATATATATATATATATTGTTGTCATCCAAGTTACGCAAAAATGAAAATAACACTGGCATCTCTTTTTTAACAGATATATTTACTAAAATTGTACAAAAATATATTGAATTACGGAAGAGTAAATTTATTCAATAAAATCGCCATTGGCTTCAACCACGGCCTTCAGATGACTTCGGAATCTCCTGCAACTCTCCTCTCTCTCCTTTTTTTAAGTTGGTGAATGCTGCCATGATCCTTGCCTTCAGTTCCTTCAGTTTTGGTGTTACAAGGAGTTTTGTTGGTTTCTCTGCCTCACACATAATAATCAAATGGGGTTGGAGACTACGGTGTTAGGTGGCCAGATGTAAGAGGTGGTGTGGTCGCAGAAATTATCAGGCAGCCATGGCTGTGTTCTCCGGCTTGTTTGACATAGTGCAGAGTCCTGTTGCCACATATATGATTTTCCGGCAGCCACCCTTTTAACCCAGGGCAGCACTAACTCACTTGCTATGGACCTGATTGACTTGGAAGGATCATTTTCAATCATGCCCTGGATAGCTTTAACAAATTCGGGAATTATCTTCTTAGAACTATCAGGGTGAGTTCTTCGTAATCACCGTTAGACTCATACAACTCTTTTCGAATCCTCTACACTATATTCAGATTAACACCAAAGCTCTCTGAATTGTTCGTATTGGAGCTTCTGGCGCCAATGCCATGCAGTGCAGCATGCCTTTTCCAAATTTATTGTAGAGTGAATTGTGTCATGGTGATCTTTTTCTCTCAGACGGTCCTTAACTGACTCTACTGTGCAGCCGCCAAATTCAAACATAAACAACGCGCATGCGCGAAATTAAAAATATAAAATGGCGGCAATTTACCCATCTCATCCTGTATATATTTATATTCCTAAGGAGTATCTAACATCGAGCAGATAGATATATAGGCATTCGTCATCTGAACGAGAGGAGCTTCAAAAAGCCCCATTGAACGTTGCTGTGCTACGTCGCTCTCTGAGGTTGAGCGTCGAATCAGACGGTGGTTTCTCCAATAACGGGGAACATAGAGTTGAACCCTGTCGGAAAGCAGATTTCCTTCATTATGGTCTTAATATTGTTATAGGCCCCGGCCTCTCATTTCGACTTCAGCCACACCCCTAAAGCCCTGGCGGTCATATGACACATAACGGCCGTTACCGTAGCTCAGTTTATACAATTTGCGGGCAGACGCCGTGATGAGAAAATATATTCTTGACACGTGGCTAAATCTTGGCTTTTTTGTCTTTGCAACGGATTTATGTGTAAATATAGATATAGTAACCTCAAATACTTTTCCTTTTCAGGGTCGGGCTAAAGGCAACTATCTCGTTTCGACTTTTTCTAGAAAATGAAACCTTCATTTATGTTATTCCGTCTTCGCATTTAAATGTATGGGAAAATATCTTATTTCGACGTCCAGATATTGCCAACGCCTTTCACATAATGATTTCACCCTGTACAAGGCCCAAGAGCCATTCGAGGTAGAGGGATACAGAGTAAGAAGGAAAGACTGTGTGGATATGTGGAGAAGATAACGGTTAACCCGAGACTTGTACAAATTTAGATTGTACTGTCCGGAAAATATCCTCTTGGGAGTAGATTCCACAGAAGAGCGGTTCTTGGGAAGAAGCTACTCGAATGGAATACGAAGTGAATGAGGTAACTCGCTACAGTGTGCGTGTCATGGCGGGTCTTAGCCGTATTGGTTAAAACTGGTAGAAATAAGGAATGTAGTTCTTCTGAATACTATCCATGGAAATAACGATAGAGCAGGGAAAGGCTTGTACCGTTTCGTTTGTGGGAAAACGAGTTGTAGGGTGGGAAAAAATTTCTTCACCTAAAAGGACGCCGAAAAGCTTTTGTACTCGACCGCGACTGCAAAGTGGAGACTCTTGTCCATATATGGTAGCAGTGCCTAATCTGTTTTGGTTTAGTTTGGTCTATTTTGTTTAACGGCATATCAACTTCAATGGCTTATTTAATGCCGACAACATTTTTAGGATAGATTCTTAAGAATAGAATATGTATTCTTTGGTTTAGATTGGTTTGGTTTGTTTTGTTTAACGGCATATCAACCTCAATGGGTTATTTAATGCCGACAGCATTTTTAGGATAGATTCGTATGAATAGAATATGTATTCTTTGGTTTAGATTGGTTTGGTTTATTTTTGTTTTACAGCATATCAACCTCAATGGGTTATTTAATGCCGACAAAATTTTTTATTGCTGGTAATATTTTGTTTTGTCAAAAATCTGTTTCTGGTAATATATTTCCTTAAGAATTTTATTACTGGTAATAATTAAAAAAAAAAGTATTGCTGGTAATAGTTAACTATTTGCCCATAGCTGGGACCCTAACAGATGCTACCACCCCGGGTCAGGGTGGACCTGGGAACACCAGCAGTTAAGATGTGGTTCCACGCTCCTCAAAACCTCCTGATTTGAGACCTTGCTGCTGGACGTAGTCTAACGTCTTACCCAGGACGCGGATGTAGTTTAACGTCTTACCTAGAACGACCTAATCTGGCTCTTGTAGAAGATTGCAGGACGAATCAGGTGCTTCCTGGGACTCTACAGGAAACCGACCATTTTTCCAACTTCTTTAGCAAATGGATAGTATGTATGAGTTCCACTTGCGGTCTTGGTTGAGCTTATATTCGGATAGGCGATCAAGGAGGCACGGGTTCTTCTTGAGGGAGCATTTGTTCATCGCGATTGGTGAAAGTTCTGGGTCCATTAATTTGGTTTTCGAGGCATTGAATACGACCAACCAGTTTCACCCCCCCCCACTGAGCTGGTATAGGTCAAAGGTGAGATCAGCTGTTAGATTGTTTGCAAGGCTAGTGTACCGAGTCTACCCTACTGGGAGATGAAATAGAATCATATGTGAAACTTAAAAAAACCGAAGTGCTACGACAAATCAGAGTACAGATTCGTAATCAGCCTAATCGTGTTAATCTAGAACAGCTTGATTTGGCTGACATCCAATAAAAGATACTCTCTCCATTTTGGCTTGCTCGGGAAAGGCGGAGAGTCTGTGAGTTCAAACTTTCGCTCCTTGAAACGAGGAAACGATTCTGCCGGTAATGAAGTCGACTCTGTACAGAGCACAAAGGTCTAGAGCAATTTCGGCATTTTTTTTTACCTTGACTACATCCGCGTCCTGGGTAAGACGTCAAACTACATCCGCGTCCTGGGTAAGACATTAAACTACGTCTAGCAGCAAGGTCTCTGACCAGGAGGTTTTGAGGAGCGTGGAACCACCTCTTAACTGCTGGTGTTCCCAGATCCACCCTGACCCGGGGTGGTAGCACCTGTTAGGGTCCCAGCTATGGGCAAATAGCAAAAAGAATGTGTCAAACAGGCTCATTCTTGTCTACTTGGCATTCCATGTCAGTGATTACATCATTTGAAATAAAATTTCAGTAATGTCAGACAACAGTCATCCTGTAAAACTGTTGAAGAATTAAAAATGGTACGAAACATTTGATTTCTTCTCTTATGCTTCCGAATCAGATGAGGCCAAAAATTTCGATTGGAGTTGCTCAATCCTTCTTTTTTCAGCCTTGACAAAGCTGAAAACCAATGACGCGGACTTGTAGGTGATGACATTTTTTCCCGCTCAAATCCGTTTCCCACAGATGCAACGTAGCAAGCCAATTGCTATTCTACTCTTTCCCTGATAATTTCTCGAGGAGCCCCATTCTTTAAATCCGCTAGCCAAAACCCGCCTTTAAAAAACCCCCAGGGTTGAATCACCCTAATTCCCTAGATATTCATTTGGTAAGACGCACTCCAAAAGTTTCTGCCCCATAACTATTCCTTTGTTGATCAAACACTTGAGGGGATGCTCCCAGAACAACTACTCTTTCAACTCCTAAAGCAGACAGTTAATCTTATCTATCCCTCATATCCTCATAATCTTCACATCTTACATTCTCCTCTTACGTTCATATCTCATTCAGTATCCCTCTGCCCTGAGTGGCTCTTGGGCCTTGTATTAGCTTTAGTTAAGAAATCAAACAAGAAAAAAAATCAGTATACTTGAGAAAAAAAAAAGTACATTTAATTTAGTCCCCAAAAATGTTTTTATTACGCTGTAGCAAAACCATTTTTTGACCAGTCTTCTCTTAAATCACAGATACTTTAAATGGTCCCGTGAGTGTGGAGGCATCACCGCTGGCCGTGAAGGATATCGATTCTCCTAAATCAGGTAGCTTGCTGCAGGAAAGCAAATACAATTTCAAGGAATTGTCAACAGCACTGCACACATATATATATATATATATATATATATATATATATATATATATATATATATATATATATATATATGCTAAAATGTGTATTAAATATGAGACGGTTGTAGGAGAGAATGCCTATGACTGAAGTCCTGAATACATGAGAATATTTCTGAATTTCATGTGCGTCAGATTAAACTCATTTCGACAGCCTTCTTTTCGTATGAACATAAAATTTTTGACTTTAAGTCATTCGAAATGGTTATACATGGATAAGGATTTTTATAGATTTTTACATAAAGGACGGCAAATTATATTGAATTATACATGACGATATTTATACATAAATAACGACAAAATAAGCCTGCAGCTTGTTCGACATATATTTTGAGATATAACTTTATATTTTCTTTTATTTTCCTTTTTGCTATAAAAACATTTTGCCCGATGTATGTTGTTTGGGCATAAAATAAATAAATAAAAATAGAAAAATAAATAACAAGGAAATAGAAAGAAACAAGTTTAGACAAAACTGGGATTAGTATTCAAGCACAGGAACTTTCTACCTAATGTAGGAACACCAGTATAAAAGAATGAGAAGGAAAATAAGGGATAGAAGAGAAAGAGAGGGAAAGAGAGAAACGGAGGAAGAGAATACATGAGTAAATAAAGAAAGAAAGAAAGCAGGGGAAAGAGAGAGAAAAGAAAGAAAGAAAGAAAGAAAGAAAGCAGGGGAAAGAGAGAGAAAAGAAAGAAAGAAAGAAAGAAAGAAAGAAAGAAAGAAAGAAAGAGAGAAAGAAAGAAAGAAAGAAAGAAAGGAAGAAAGAAAGAAAGAAAGAAAGCAGGGGAAAGAGAGAGAAAAGAAAGAAAGAAAGAAAGAAAGAAAGAAAGGAAGGAAGAAAGAAAGAAAGAAAGAAAGAAAGGAAGAAAAAAGAAAGAAAGGAAGAAAGAAAGCAGGGGAAAGAGAAAGAAAGAAAGAAAGAAAGAAAGAAAGAAAGAGGTTTCAGTTACAATAAAAGAAGGAAGAACGGGACGACGGGAATAGGAACTTAAGTATGGAGTGAAAGTTAAAAGAAAGAAAGGACGACATAAATTGAGTAAGAAGTGAAAGAGCAGGATCAGCGGAATAGGAAGGATATACAGAGAGAGAGACAGTGAAAAGAGAGAGAGAGAGAGAGAGAGAGTCCGAAGAAGAGAGACACTATATTAAAGGAAAAATCAACCATGCACTGTGAAAGGAAAAATCAACTATGCACCAACGAAAAGTGAAAATATATATAAAAACGTGAAATATAAAAATGTAATTGCTGATACACCTGACGAGTGGACAGAGTGATTGCTGGAGAGTCAATCTACAAAACTCTGGAGTCACGATACTGAAGGTAACACCAGTGAGATAAGTGACAAACTTTATATTTGTATTAATTCTTTCTCTTTATAGCTCTCTCTTTCTCTCCCTCGATATATATATATATATATATATATATATATATAGAGAGAGAGAGAGAGAGAGAGAGAGAAGAGAGAGAGAAAGAGAGAGAGCAAGAGAGCGAGTAAGACATATTGGAAAGAAAGGAAGTCAGAGAGAAGTTGTGGGCTTAGAAAAGGCGGGAGTATAAGACCACTAATGTGGGAAATATATTTAGAATATATACATACATACATACATACATACATATATATATATATATATATATATATATATATATATATATATATATATATATATATGAAAATATATATATATATAATTAGGAAAGCTATATATATATATATTGTCATATATAGTTATATATAGATATAGATATACAGAGAGAGAGTGAAGGAAGAAAGATGATATATATATATATATATATATATATATATATATATATATATATATCATCTTTCTATATATATAGTTAGTCAATGAAGTTATTTGGTAATTAGTTAATGAAGTTATTTGATAATCCGCATGAATAATTTAAAAGCAGGTTGTAATCCAGAGAGCTCAATATAATTCCGATCCTAAGGAAATAAATTATAATCCCATGAACCCTTAAAGTTGTCTGTTTCTTAATATAATTAATTAATATATATATATAATTATTTTTTCGTAATCCGTTTATTATTTTCGTGGTTGCTCTACATTACGTAAAGATAGAAAATAAGGAAAAAGTGTAAGAAAGATAGAGTGAATGAAGAAAAAGTGTAAGAAATATGTCGCTTGAGGAGTGAAAGAAAAATTGTAAGAAATATGTCGCTTGAGAAATGAAAGAAAAAGTGTAAGAAATATGTCGCTTGAGGAGTGAAAGAAAAATTGTAAGAAATATGTCGCTTGAGAAATGAAAGAAAAAGTGTAAGAAATATGTCGCTTGAGGAGGAAAAGAAAATTGTAAGAAATATGTCGCTTGAGAAATGAAAGAAAAAGTGTAAGAAATATGTCGCTTGAGGAGTGAAAGAAAAATTGTAAGAAATATGTCGCTTGAGAAATGAAAGAAAAAGTGTAAGAAATATGTCGCTTGAGGAGTGAAAGAAAAATTGTAAGAAATATGTCGCTTGAGAAATGAAAGAAAAAGTGTAAGAAATATGTCGCTTGAGGAGTGAAAGAAAAAAATAAGAAATATGTCGCTTGAGAAATGAAAGAAAAAAGTGTAAGAAATATGTCGCTTGAGGAGTGAAAGAAAAATTGAAGAAATATGTCGCTTGAGAAATGAAAGAAAAAGTGTAAGAAATATGTCGCTTGAGGAGTGAAAGAAAAATTGTAAGAAATATGTCACTTGAGAAATGAAAGAAAAAGTGTAAGAAATATGTCACTTGAGAAATGAAAGAAACATTGTAAGAAAGCTAAAAGAGACAAAAGAGAGGGAAGTACACAAAATCGTAGAGATAATGAAGAAAATGTTCTGTGACTGAGAAGAAAATTGAGAATAAGAGAAATAGACGATGTGGTTAGAAGTGAAAGAGAAAAGAAAAGGGGGCGAGTGAGGGAAAGAGAGAACGATAGAATAGAAAAGAGTAGAAGGGCGATTTATAAAGACGGATAGAGATAGAAAGCAAAGTCTGTAGACAGCAAAAGTGGAAGAAAATCACAACTAATTCCTTGCACCTCTCTTGGGACATTATCTTAATCAGACGAATGTCTTTGCAGCTTGCTGAGTGTCGTCAGGTCTGGCCATGTCCGTCGGACCATCACTTCACGTTTGCTGTTCACGTCGTTACGAGAGTTGGCGCCAAACTGCGCGAGAACCGAACGTGGCAAACAAGCCCAAAGCAATATCGTTACAGCATTTTGATAAGTTCAGTGTAGGTGTGAATATTTCTAAGGAACGTGGAGCCGAAGGATCAGTCACTGCGCATTTTTACTCTTTGTCTCACATTTTCATTGAGGTTATGGTAAGTCGGACACAAGGTCGCGGTTAACATGGACCCCCACGCACGTATTTTGGGATGCTGTTAGAAATTGTTCACTTACCTCAACACTTTCACTTTTTGAACTCCTAAAGCATTAAGGTTTTATTATTCCCATTTACTAGCAAAGCTGGGGTCAGTTTTCGTTTATAGTTCAAAAGGCCGACAAGCCATTTTTATTTAGCATACTATGGCACAAGGTCATAAATATGTGAATTTCAGCGAGGATCGAAATCACAACACATTAATAACAGCTAGCCGGAAATCGAACTTATTTTCGTTGTCACGTTAAGCGAGAGTTTACCATACTATTATATTTCCTTGGTCTTTTTTTCACTTAAAACCGAACGTGCTAGACTTGCTTTATTACAGTCATTTAAATTAATATATTCAATATTTTATAATACTTTTGTATCTTATCAGGAAATAATGGTTCATGACTCTCTACAGATTCCTTTTTCGTTATTAAAGCACTAAGATTTTATTATTCCCTTTTACTTGCAAAGGTGGTGTCTATTTTCGTCTAGAGTTCAAAAGGCCGAGAAGCCATTTTTATTTAGCATACTTTAGCACAATGTCATAATCATGTGAATTTTAGTGAGGATCGAATTAACAACACATTAATAACAGCTAACCTAAATAAACGCGCTCGCTAATCAAGCCACTCACGTCAGCTTTTTATAAAAATGCCGTATCTCATCAGGAAATAATGGTTCATGGCTCTCTACGGATTCCTTTTTCTTTATTATTTCTGAAGTGTCATGGGTTCTTGGGAAAAGTAATAGAATGGTTTGTGATTGCATTCTCCACGGTATGGCAATCGAACTTACTTTGGTTAAAAGTAAAGCGAGAGTCTACCTTGTTATTACATTTCTTTAGTCTTTTTTAATTTAAAATTGAACGTGCTAGATTTGATTTATTACAGGCATTTAAATTAATAAATTCATTTTTTTTATAATACTGTCGTAACTTATCAGGAAATAATGGTTCATGGCTCTCTACAGATTCCTTTTTCGTTATTATTTCTGAATTGCCTTCTGTTCATCTTCTCTGGTAGTCTCACGTCGACAGCGCTACTTCTCTCGACTGAGAAGATTGGTTTTATATAGCTCTCCCAGCCTTAGACACGCGCTAACTATTGGCTATTGGCGATATGCGCAGTATCGTTCACATGCAAATAGGCAGTGCCATCTAATCTAAGTAGAAGGCCTTCTCTCAACGGTCCGCTTTTGACTGGGTTCAGAAGTCCAGAGAGTATGGGACCGTGCAAAATCTGAACTCTAAAGATCTGAGGGACACTAACTGTGGTCAGAGGGTGAATGCTAGAATAGAAAAGAACAATGAGGATGTACGGGTCTCAGTAGGGCGGAGCCCAAAGAAATCACTTCGATGACGAAGTCAACAGCTGGGAATCTCTCTCGTGTCTTTGAGACGAGTTTTTAAATCAGATCTTCATTTGTATCCTTACAACATACAAATAAAGCAAAAACTTACGGAGATGAACATGAAAATAAGCGTAACAATGTATGAATGTTAATTTTTTTGACACAATCGAAGACAATCCAGACTTCTTGGATCCATCAATATCTGTCTATATTTCTGAGATGAGGTATTATTGTACATTATTTACATTATTCGGATTATTGTACTCATCCTTGTCGCCATATCTATTATCACGTTTCGGCCGTTGTACGCTCCGGCCTTCTTGAGGTGGTTGGAATGTCGAACTGAACCCTTTATTTCGCTCACTGGGGTAGACTGTTCTAATTCCATGTTTAATGGATTTCACTTATCAGTTATCTCCTGTTAATTTTCCCTCTGAAAGTTCTCCACTGCCTTAACTGGGTATTGAACTCACACTCATTGGGTCTTGTCACTGGATCTAACCAACGCTTTTATCCACTATGCCATGTGTCCTTGAGCGAAATAAAGGGTTCAATTCGAAATTCCAACCACCTGAAGAAGGCCGGAGCGTACAACTAACTAACGCCGGAGCATACAACTAACTAACTCCTTTAGTATTCGTCTAAATTCTGAGATGAGGCATTATGTACACTATTTACATTATTCGGGCTACTGTCCTCAACTTTGTCGCCATATTTATCACAACATTTCGGCCTTTCAGTATCTGTCTATATTTCTGAGATGAGGTATTATGCACACTATTTACATTATTCGGACTATTGTCCTCATCTTTTTCGCTATATCTATTACAACGTTTCGGCCGTTGTACGCTTCGGCCTTCTTCAGGTGGTTAGAATGTCGAACTGAACCCTTTATTTCGCTTACTGGGGTAGACTGTTCTAGTTCCACGTGCCATGTTTAATGGATGTCAGTTATCAGTTATGCTCTGTTAATTTTCCCTCATGGCACAGTGGATAAAGGCGTAAGTTAGATCCAGTGACACGACCCAAAGAGTGTGAGTTCAATACCGGTTAAGGCAGTGGAGAACTTTCAGAAGGAAAATTAACAGGAGATAACTGATATTTATATATATATATATATGTATATGTGCGCGCGATACTTAGTGGAAAGTTCTTAATATCGGTGACAGAGCTAACATATTAAGTTGAATGGACATGAGTTTGTAACCCAGTGAAACCCAAGGTTAGAAACTTATATCCATACAACTGAATATATATATGTGTGAAATGTGTGTGTATATAAATATATATGTGTGTAATATATATATATATATTATTATTTAAATATTATATGCGTGGTACTTATTAGAAAGCGCTCAATATCAGAGATAGAGCTAACATATTTGGTTAGATTGATGTACAAACTCACATCGATCCAACCAAATATATATATATGTATATATGTTGCTCTGAGAAAAATTCATTTTGTCCCTGTTTTTGCATCCATTCAAAAAATCGTTAAGCACGTTACATGTTTTCCATTGCATTTTTCACCTTTTATATAACCCAGGAAGTGTTGAATTCTCTAGCCACTATGATAGCGTTTGAATATATATATATATATATATATATATATATATATATATATATACCACAAGGAAGGCAGTGCAGACACTAGCACGCATGGGGTTAGAATGTGTGGAAGAATTAAGAACAGAAACGACAGTAATGAGTAGAAAGAGAAAAGAGTAATCAGGAGAACAGTAGATAGCGATTAACACTGCACTTAAATTCTTGCAGATTAATGCTAGCTGGAAAGCATGGAGACGGAAAGGAGTTCCACAAACGAAAAATGCCAGAAAAGAAAATGTTAGCATAGAATTTACGGCTGCATCTAATTATCTCAACTGTAAATTGATGAGATCTCACCGCCAGTCTAGTATTGCGATTAAATTCATACAGTCTAGGTACAATAGTGAAGAGCACATCCGAAATATTACCATGAACGTATTTACAAAAAAGTACAGAGGCAACATTACGGTGGTGGGCAACTGACTGAAGCCGAGCCCCTAGTTCGGTACGAATAATATTGTTGATTTTCCTCTGCATTTTCTCAAGGGCACCGGACCATACATAGCAGCAATATTGTAAGCATGGACGAATGGTAGACTTATAGATATGCAAGATAGATTCAGGAGAGAAAAGTTGCGTGACCCGACGCAGTGAACCGACATTTTTATCAACTGACGTAGCTATGGATTCAATAAAACTATATAACAGTACGTCAGAATTCAGCCTGAAATGAAAATAATTTATACATAAATCTGTTTATCAAAATGGCAAAGTTTGCCTTGCAATAACCTGGAAAACTTTTATTTGGTGAAAACCAAACGAAACCTGAACGAAAAAAAATTGGTGAAATTAAGTTGGCCGAACTAATATCAGATTACGTACAAAGACTTTTCAGAATGAAAACTAATTAAAAATGATTTCATCTGGACAAAATGTTGTTGTAAAGGTCTGCAGTGAGTAATTGGCATGTTTGCATGACGTGTAGGCACAAAAAAAGAATATTTTCCCGGTAGACCTAAAGATCGTATAGTAAGTTCTTCTATAAGTGGCCTATCATTTAGTTCCCAGCAATACAACTTTTTCGTGTGGTATAGAAACCGTAGCTCCCCACAACTTCCAGTCACGTATGGTTCTAAGAAACGTTCAAACAAACAGATTTCTTCTGTGCCCCTCTCATTTAATATGCATGAGTTTAAACTTTTCCAAGACGTCTTTCCACGTAATGTGTTCCAGAAATCTTACACTTCGCTTTCTCTCTCTCTCTCTCCCCTCTCTCTCGCTCTCTCTCTCTCTATATATATATATATATATATATGATTGATCCCTATATTAACACAATCTCTCTAAATATCCCTCCCTTCCTCCCTCTCTCTCAATCTCTCTCTCTCTCTCTCTCTCTCTCTCTCTATATATATATATATAGGAATCCCTGTAATCACACCATCTCCCTCTCTCAATCTCTCTCTCTGTATTTATATATATAGGGATCCCTATGTTCATACCTTCTCTTTCACACTCTCTTTTTCTCTCTCTTTGATATATATATATATATATATATATATATATGTGTGTGTCTGTGTGTGTGTATAGTTATCTCTATAACCACAGCGTCTCTCTTACTCGCTCACTCTATATCTATACTATATATATAGTGATCCCTATATCCACACCGTCTTTCATTCTCTGTCTCTGTCTCTCTCTCTCTCTCTCTCTCTCTATATATATATATATATATATATATATATATATATATATGTGTGTGTGTGTTTTCTGTGACAAAAGGAAAACTCATCTTGGTCGACGCGTTTCGTTCCCTGAGGGACTTTATCGAGCTAAATGTGACATT